CTTGATTGCATTCGTAGAAAGTAAGACAGGGCACACATCGTTTGCATGCAAAAAAGGCCGAGCATATGGATAGCATGCCAGCGGTGCATGACTCATACAATATAGTAGGCCGGTCCCTACCTAAATATATTACAGACCTAGGTTGACATGAAGCCACACAGCTAAATGAAATAGTAGCCTCTCCGTTTTGTTCCTCATATGTAGGCTCCTAGGACAATGTATCTAGCTCAAAAGAATGGTGCACGCCTCGGGCGACTCTTACGTGTGTTCCTCGACGTCGCTGCCACCTTATGGAGTGAGCGACTAGATTGAGCGCCATCCTCCAACTTGAATGGCCGCCCGTTGGGCCAACATCATGTGTCATGCCAGATGTGATCCTTTCCTATGTAACAATTACTCAATGAAATGGTTACCAAGTTCCGGACCTTAGTTGTCTCATGTGACGAAAAAAAACAACCTACATACTTTTGCACCCAATGGAACAAAACTTGTATGGGCTCTTTAGCCTCTGTTTGCGAGCAACACAGAGGTTCTCTTGCTTGGACCTACATGAGTAGAATCTATCGCCAGAGCCATTTTTAAGGTAAACCACCATAGCCTCATTACAGACGTATTGTTGCACCCCTGCCACATCAACAAGGCTCAACACATCTCATACGCGTACCACATCTCTGGTTGCCTTCTTCAGCACCTGCAAGATATGCTGAGTGCTTATTCAATTAAATGTTACCTATATAGGGGTGACTACACTGGGCGGATTCTAGAACCTGTAGGGTCCGGTGGGATGCATGGTGGGATACATGGTCTGCTCGGCATTGTGCACACAGAGCTTCTTGCTGTAGGTCTAGACAATTCAGACATATGTATTTACAGGGTATGTGGTGCAGTGGGCATGGCCTGCCAAGTAACGTTGCAATGCGCTCGGCCCCTAGCATGGTTGCAAGAATGGTTTGCACTGCGGTTGCAAGAATGGCTATTTAATGGACTCGGGGGTTCCTCTTCTAGGATAGGTCACTGCCATCATAAATGACACTGGCATCCTAGACAACCTATACCATATCATAAATGCGAAAAGAGATTCAAGGACCACCTTCCTTTGCGCTCTTGCATGGTCACCTGCATGCTGCATTGTAAATTTTTATTGTGCGTAGTAAAGTTCTTTCCTGGCAGTGTAAATTTACTCCATGCATAGATGTGACAAGAGATTCAGGGTCTGAACATCGTCCTTTCGCTGCCTCTCACGGTAAATTCTGGTTGTGCATAGTAAATTTATTTCATGCCATAGATGTGTCAAGGGATTCATGGGTCATGCATCTGCACTAGCATCAGCTTTGGATGGGTCCAAGGGTGCACGTTCTGTCATGGTGTGGATGGATGCGTGTTCCCGTGCAAAAATGTTGCCAGTGGACAAGCTGCAGCTGCAGTGCAATGACCATTTTCGAGCCAATGACGCATTCAAGGAAGGAACTGGGTTAACGATTGCGACATTTATTCAGTAGCCCATCCTTGTCATGTGTGTAGCTCACACGCCAGGCATTACTCCACTGCAAGCGAGCTTGGCTATTTATATGGCATGGCTATTTATATAGCAAGTTCCATGCGTAGGGGCTGCACGGCGGGAATCCACAAAGAAGGCATAGGTCAGGAGTCGGTAATTGAGCATTCCAAATTTATTGTTGCAATAGGTTCCTGGTATAGCTAGGGAGACAACGTTCACCCATCCACGTTCCAGGCAGTGGTCCAACCGAATAGGATCATGCACTGTCAACTAATTAATGCTATATTTAATAGCTTATTAATGTTATTTTTAGCAGCCTTAATGTTATATTTAATAGTCTACTAATGTTATTTGTAGCAGACTTTATTTTATTTTGTCCTTTCTCATACTTTGGCATGTGTCGGTGTGAATTCTTATCTCGCATAGATATAATTATATATTGTTTCCGCCACTTGTATTACGGAAATGCATATCAAATTCTACATATATTTGTTTTATTTTAAATAAAAAAAATCTTTCTGACCTATGTATGCACCAGTTGATTCTATATATATCCAAGACAATAACTTGTCGTTCATCTAGCAGGAACATGGATAAAGGTAAGAGCGTCATCATCAACGTGGACAAGGGTAAGAGTGTCGTCAACGAAGGAGCTCCGCCACTTCCCTCTGATCGTTTCGATGGTCGTGACCCGCCACTTCCCTCTGATGGTTTCGATGGTCGTGTCCCCTTGTCAGCGCTTCCGTTGGCTAATTTGCATGCCAATGTCCCCGTGCCACCACTTCCCTCCTGTACTTTGGATGCCCATGTCCCCCTGCCGCCGCTTCCGTTGGCTAATTTTCATGCCCATGTCCCCGTGCCACCACTTCCCTCCGGTTCTTTAGATGGCCATGTCCCCGTGCCCCCACTCCCGTTTGCTGCTTTGCAGCCCCGTGCCGCAGGTATTATTTTATTTAGTTGTTTTGGCATGGAGCACGATGGTATTGGGTTATCATGCACAGTCATTCATTGACACTATTTGGTCCATGCTGCTTCTATTTGTGCACTTTGCTTATCATGCGTATGAGTTACAGTATAGTAGCTACTCATTGGGTCCACCTATATATACACACAGATACTCTAGATCCTTATATTTCTGTCCCTTTGTTGTAGGTTCCGGTTGTACTTGATATATCACGCAAGAGCATGTTAAGACAGATTCTTCCCAAGATAGGCGCGATTATTCGCACCGAGGGAGCAGTGAAGTTGGATAACAAGAAAACGCTGGCGTGGCTGAGCATTGAGATTCGCTCAAAGTCGGGCAAAGCAGGGCCCGCCAGATTCGGACTTTCGAGTGTCCCTTTCACGAGCTTATATGAGGCGAAAGAAAGTGTTCTTTGAGCAAGCAATCTGCTATTTTATAGGAAGGATGAATATTTGCATTAATGATCTGACTTATTCTGCTTTCAAGGAAACGTATAAGCAGCTGGACCACTTCATGTCTTGGTCCCAGCTTGTTGAGACTAAGTATGATACGCTGCGCATCCAAACGGACAACCTATTCAAGTCTCGTAAGGAGCTTTTGGACCGCCTTGGATCCATCTGCTCAAGCTATAGTGATATCCTTTCTTCAAATGACTCCTCTTACGTCCATCGGTGCAGGCCGTTCTTTGGACCAGACCCACAGTATATACAACTTGTTGAACAGCTATTCAGCCTTGTCTGGAGAACATCCCTACATACATCCCTCTTTGGGAGCTTTTAAAGGTATGCATGCATGCTCCTTGGTTTGTGTTGCTTCACAAGAATTGTTACATGTCGTATTTTAAATGGCTCGCTAACTTACTTTTTCCACTCCCTGGCGGGGATGCAATCACATGAGGGGCCTCTAGGAAATGTTGGCCTTGCACCATGTGCTAGCCTAGCAATCTCCTATGTCACGTCCACCGAACACACCATCCCTAATGATGTCAGCATGTGCAACAACCAATTCAAAGGCTTCCTTCCGTCCATCCGGTCGTGTTTTCCCATATATTGTTACCCATGTTAGGCTACTATGTCGTTGTACCGTGGGACGCTATTAAGTACCTTTTATGTGTACCTTTTGTTGCTTTGTATGTACCTTTAGGTGTGTGCGGTCTCATGTATGTATTGTTCGATGTTCCTCTGTGCCCTTAGAATAAATACATGTGGTGTGCCTCTGTGGCGTTGTGTATTTTGTATTGGGTTGAGATCTCTCCCTTCTCCCTCCGGGTTCCTTAGTTTGATAGGTGATCGTAGCATTTTAATTAAGCCAACCAAAGGCCTTGCTTGTTCTATGGAGGCTCGAAGCGACATTCTCTAATTCCAACCAGTTATCTCGCTAAAATATTAGATAATAAATACCATTTACTTTTGTTGCGAGGATGAAACACAATCAGGACAGTCATAGTTAAAAAATCTTTATGAGGTAATCACTTGGCTTATGTGCCAATAAATACTGCGGCGTAAGAGGTGCATGGCTGAATGACTAACGGGAGGCACCGACAAACTGGTCTGTCTATTCCCACGCATTTAAAACCACACCTCTCTATCCCATTCGTCTCCACTTAGAACCACCGCCTGCCTCACTCAGCTTTCTTGCACATTGCGGGTGAGCTATGCCCATTGCCTGACGTGCGAACCAAATGCCATGGCATCGAAGGAGGATGTCCCAGCCAGCGCCTCGGTGGGCGTCCGGCTGAGGGGTCGACATCCAGTGGTCGTCGGCCACGAAGGCCATGGGGTGGATTTGGGCGGGCGTCATAACGGCGTTGGGGTGGGTGGGCTATGGAGATCCGCATACCACACACTCGATTGAAGTTGTGGATCGGCGGTTTCAAAATGCCATTCAGCAGCCCTAGCCTATGATGCGGCCATGGTCGCTTTACGGTGGCGCTTTGCCAGAAGGCGCAAGTTCAAGCGCCCGGTCGGCCCGGCATCCTGCAATCCCTGACCACGTCGCATCCACCTCACCATAGCCACCATCAAGGTGATCGCTGCGGACTACGGCCGGAGATGCTGTTGCCTTCCTCGCACACCGCTTGTGTGCCATCCAATACCGAAACAACACTTGTCGGCACCGCTTTGTCATGGCGACAACGCCGAGCCACGATGGTGCTGAAGTGTTTCTTTGAGGAGTCTGCTTTTTAGCCGCCTAGGCGATGTCGGCGATCTGGATACTGATTGTGCCTAGGTATTTTCTCAGGAGTATCTGTTTTAGCTACCTAGAAAATGAATGATTCTTTTCGATTAGGAACATCCCTTGAATCATGCTTTACTTTTTTTAAGAAATAGTTACGTGTTTGCACACCATCGATTCTGTTGTGTCCAAAGCGAAATTAGGTGTTTGGGTGTTAGGTCGAATTAATGTATGTGGACACATATTCAAATGCCACAGTTATAATTTGTGCCATACCATAAATGTATTGGTCACTTAGATTAAAAATATACTAAATTATGGACATATAAAAGTTGCGGCGTGTGAAATATGAAAGCTTACGGGTTAGAGGTGGCCTTGTTGATATTTGCTTTTGAAAAAAGAAACGATGATGTCATGATCCTTATCGGCAAGAGGAATTCCACAGTGAATGAATGTCTCCTCATCATTTGAACCTAACAATTGAAACCACTCAGGTTTCAGAAACATTCTGCTAGCTGCATTGGTGTGCATTAATTGCAAATTAACGAACAGAGGTTATGATTGAAGTACAGAATTAATATAGCAAGGACAAAAACCGGATAGCAAGGACAAAAAACGGATAGCATCATACTACAATGAGATAAATTAATATAGCAAATTCGAAACACGGGATAGAGGTTATGATTGAAGTCGAAATTCACCTAACATAATTGATGAAACTTTGTATTTTGTGCATAAACAAAAAAATGGTAAATGGAGTTTAGGATTATCATGTGGGTTTTGAGCTGGTACATTAGGTTTGATATGGACATATGGTGACACATTGTGCACACTACAGTTTCTATTCTTTCGACAACGATTGGGATCTGGAGGTCGGGACTACATTCAAAATACTGGTTCCTTCATCTAAAATTGATGAGCAAAAGGCACGGAATTTATAAACAACATAGCCTTACCAGGAGTTGCTTGGATCTTGACATTTACTGGTGTGCAACTGGGAGTTGTATTGCCACTACTAGAGTAGTGCACAAGACCGCAGCCAGCAAGCTGTTAAAGGACAAACAGTTGGGATGTGCATAATAGGATTGTAAATTGTGACAAAGTTCTGTATGAATTACCTTTGCAAGGTAATTCTTGTCCAAGAAGACATTGCTAGGCTTAACATCTCCATGGTATAGTGGAGGATCACAATAAAAATGAAGGTACTCCTGTAACCAAACATCATAAAAAGTAAAACATAAATTTGAAATATATTTAGTCATGACAGGGAGTATGGTAAATATTGATTCAGCCTTTCACAAGTTGACAAAATTGTAAGAAACAACTAATAAGTCTTGCTTATCACGATTACTGACTTCTGCAGAAAGAAAGAAAGAAAGAAACAATCACAGATTTCCTGAAACTTACCAAAGCATTAGCAACATCGATGGCAATTCAGACCCTATTTTTCCATGGTAGCAGATGTTTACTTGGTGCTGAAAAGAGCAGAGTGATTTTAAACATACAATTCAACAAATGATGCATCATCAGAAGAATATGAGAATAGAACATGACTTATTACAATGCAGGTGATCTTGAAGGCTTCCATTTTCCATGTATTCATATACCTGAAACCTGGATCACAGAACACTGTAACAACCATAATTGGTGGATATCTGAATTTAGTTACAACAGATATTAACCTCTCAAATCTTGTTGAACAAAAACCTTTTAGTCCAACAAGATGCGGTGATGCAACCGCCAAGAAATTCCATTTCTTTACAAAATTCATGGTAATTTTGTTTTGGTGAACTCTCAACGCATCTCGATAGCAAACCACGGATCCATCATTTAGTTGTCCTCTGAATACTGTACCATTTTCACCTCCTCCTAACACCGTCTTTGAAGTTCCTTGTTGCTTTCTTCATTTCTCTCAGAACTAAATCTGCCAAAAATGGTGGAATTGCACGAAAAACATTTACGGTAGGCAAAATAAATTGAACCATAAGGATAAGGTTTTGAATAAATTACGTGAAGTCCATCATAGTATTTAATATGATGCACTTTGGCAAAAAAAAAAATAAAAATAAATAAATAAATAAAAATCAGACCACATCATTATTATCCATTTTATTGATAGCCTCATGATGATGATGAAAGGAACTGAGCTTAGCTCAAACTTATGGGAGTTCTGTACACCGCCCATCCATGTTCAGTCCTCCATATCTCGAATTTGGGTGTCTATTTACTTTAAAATTAGAAATCAACTAGCCCATCCTAGGTTATTTTTTTATTTAAGACAATGAGTGGAAGAGGATACCATGTATACCAACTTGAGATATTGATTGTCTTGGCCAAGCTTCTCATGGTGTGTGACCGGTTAGAGGAGTGAGCTCTGGGACTCTCCCATCCGACCCGGTTCAAGCACAGCACCTTCTTATTTCAAAGCCATATAGAGGAGTCTCCTCCCATGGTCGAGTTTTTTTTTATATATATATTGACTGTATTGTGCATGGTAGATTTTTTTAATAGCATGGAAGAAGCAAAACATATTAACGGGCTTATGCCCTTATGTTTTCCCTCATGTTTGCCTTAGGCTATAACTCTCATTCTGGCTCCTTTCCTTATCACATCCACACCGCAGACCATAAATGAGTTTTGTATCATCTAGAATCAAGAATACTAGAACATTTGGCGCTTCAGGCGCCTCTATCTTGGCTATTTAGCCAAACTAATTCAAACTAATAAATTATTTAGTCAAATTCAAACGACAATTTTCTTGTTTCATAGAAAAAATTAAGAAAACTTTTTCCATGTAATACACTATGATTCTTAAAAACATTCCATGAATTTCATCGGACATCTTTGAAAACTTCTCTACATTAGGCATCACTATAAAGGGTCGATGTTGTAGATCAATTTAGGGTGTGAGATTTGAAAAATAAAAAAAATACATCTAAGTAGGAAGTATACATGCAACCATAATGAACTTAAAAAAAGTTTGTCATGACGTTGAACATAAAGACTCATAGAAGAATCTACGATTGACGTGCGATTAAAATCAACTTATACTCCAAATCCCTTAACATTGGCTAGGCGTAAGTGTCGTTTGACAACGACGGTGGGTCTTGACCACATCTTCGTGTACCTGATTCATAAGTCAAGAGCAAGACCATTAAACAAAATTTAATCTTATCCAATCTTGAAAAGAAACATCTTAATTACAAGCTGTCTAAAAAAATTGGCTTTCCGCAAGCTAGTCCGAAATCGGTGGAAACAAGGCCTCAAATGGTATGCATGTTGTACACGATTCTGAGGCTTGGTAGTTAATTTTGCCAACATAATGAATGCAAATGATCCAGGTATAATTGTAGTGAGCATGTAATAATAATCACTAATCATAAAATTATTAATACAAGCAACATGACAAAAAACATGGTAACATCACTAAAATATTGCATAAGAAAATAGAAAATCTTGTAACAACGATATACACTCTATGGAAGATATTTTTTTTTAACTCCACTCTCTACGGAAGATATGGTATACACCTATTGGTGTCGAAACTGTTTTTTAACGTAAATGGTGTTGTAACTGTAAGCTAGCATTGACCCAATGAAAGTGACAACCATTGATTAAAGATTAAGTATGTGTTGACAAAACAATATTGTTTTCTTTAATCAAAATATTGTGCGATTACTTTTCCCAAATAAGTATTGCTCGATTATATCCAGTCAATAATCGAACTATTGTATACTTGAATTTGGTGCAAGAAATAAGTCAATTCATTACGAGTTGTAATTTTAGAATGGTTCAAACTTCTAAGACAACTGGCGAACAAGAAAGATAATAGAAGTATTAAAACATAGTGACAATATGATTTCTTGACCAATGGAATACCAAAATATAAATCCAAGCAAATAATAAATTTACATAAGAATATAGCATATGCTATCTAACATGCGTTTGAGAAGTACCAAAGCAAACTGAAAAGGCCATTACCAATCACCATACTTTGGTAGTTTAATCATGAGAGCTTCAAGTAACCCATATGTGAAAAAGGTCAATCGAGAGCCAGCCTATTGAGTACGGTAAGATTCGAAAGGAAATAAAACATGGGAAAGAGATATTTACCTTCCATAAACAATATGGCCTTGTTATACTTCTGTTGTAATGAGACAAAATTAGCAACTCATAGTTAAATAGTGGGTATCGATAAGCAAAATTACAAAGCACTGAAAAGAGGCTGTTACTATCTATGCACTACAAATTGTAGATGTAAAGCTACCTCTTCTCCGTATATAACAATGTATGAAGCCAGACGTAATAACATAGAAATCGCACAGTCATCTTATCAAAGCTCCTGCATCGAAGCTGTCATGAGTCCATCTTCATTACCTGCCGGTGATAGACCTTCTTTCGCTGAAAACACACAGGATTTTGATAGTTCAATAAACAGCATTTTAGCATATTTCTCATTACTAATCCATAAACGCACTACATATTAAAAGTTCTAACTCAAATCAATTTTCATCATTTTAGAAATCACCTAAACACAAGATGTCGCACATCAATCAAAAAATAGGTGACCAACTGTTTGCTGCTCATTATTGAATATATGAAGGTGAGGTCACTCATGGGGTCAATGAGTCAATAGTTCTTCTAAGGCGCCTATTGTTAGACAGTAACAATAGTAAAATGTATCACGATTTGGAAGTCTTACAAATGAACACAAGCTGCAAATGAGTAGATTAAAAACCCTGTCAGTTCTGATTATTGGTACTGAAATCTGAAAGACTAAAATTGGGCATAGTGGAACATACAGAGAAGCACATCACCTCGGCGGCGGCGGTTTCCGGCCTCAACGATCATAAATCCGTCCGATCTCGCCAAACATACACCCCAGCGCAAGGGTGTCTAGCCCACTGGCCTCAACTCAATTGTTAGCATGGTCGGAGAAGCCTTTTGTGGCTTGAGCTTCCCCTTCATAAGGTTCACGAACTTGCTATTGTGTTTTGGTCCTGATCCAATCTTTGGATCCTTGCGACATGGTGTCGGTCTTCTTAGATCCAATCAACTACTAATAGCTCCACTACCTCTATAACTAAAAGGGCAATTAGTTTGCACAGATGTCACTCCACGACTACTTACGGAAGAACCAGATGACCGCCCTTCCACATACGGAACCAACTCATTAATAAATCTACGGTTTCACATACAACCAATTCAATAATGATGAATCCATTGGATCCAATACAAGTCATCTGCAAGATTAGGGGTGACTTTGTGTGTACCTTGCCGAACATTAAACTGGATACAACAACCTCGGCCATTTGCGAGAACCAACCTTGCCGCTAGTCGCGAGTTCTCTCCTCCTTGCGCCTGACGTCGAGCACGGTGTCGATGAGCTCAGTTCCCTCAATGTAGTGGCCCTTGGCCCGATTGTTTTATTTGCGATCGGCTCAAGACGAAGTTCTCGGGGCGGAAGATGTGGCCATAGGTCCCCAAGCGATCGAGTCCACGATTGTCGGGCTCCCGGGCACAAATCGTCTGAAAGAGGCCTCATTGTAGTAGACGTTGACGCTTCGAGCTTTCGGTCGAGTCGCCGCCACAATGGCCGGTGGCGTGTCGGGAGTTCTGCACTTCTCCTACCCGACCGGGAGATTCGGAGGCGATGGAGGCGGCGGCGGCGGCGGCGAGGAGAAGAGAGAGAAAGGAAAGCGCAGAAATGAGGATGGGGTTAGGGTTTGGACCGAGTGGAGAGGCATCTCTAAGCGGATCTGCGGGTTAATTCCCTAAAAGATTGAGGGTGTTTCTATGAAACTTGTGGCGCTAGGTGTCGCGACGCCAAGAAGACACCAATGCTCTAAATTCTCCAGTTGCGAAGAAACGGAGAGACTTTTAATCAACCACGATTCACAAAGAAATGGTAGTATGCACTTGTATCGTATGCCATATAAACCTCATTAAATTATCCAAGACAGTTGGACATCCAAATAGCAGACGTTAAATGAAAAGAATTACAATATCACAATTAAAAAAAAACAGAAACCCTTACCTTCTTGGCCCTTCTTGACACAGGAAAAACTACATGCATCCAGATGGTTATTTCCTTCCATCTTTTTGAGTTCTTTATTCTTTCTACGGATTAGGAAAAACAGTACTATCATTAGTAGAATTGCCACTCCAGTAACCAAGGCTCCAATTCTTTGGGAATAGAACAAGCTTGTAACTGCGATGATGCTTGGGTGGTACTACAGGAACTTGCACCGTAAGTGGACTAGGAGAAATATCTGGCACCGCAAGTCCAGATGGAGCCGGTCCAGAGATGTTCACTGCATTATATATTCAAACATGAGAAGTTGTGTAAATAATATGAGTTGTGTAAATATAAGGTTTTTGCATCTCTAAACTAAGTAAGTGAGCTAATAGAAAGAGTGATGCTGGTAGTTAGTCGGAGGCGGACCGAAAAAATGGATGGACGAAAAAAATGGGTGAAAATTTTCTCTCTTTATTATTAGGTATAGATATAGATAGCAGCCGAGAGAAGAGCTGCCTGTGAACCAAAGGCACGGTAGGATAAATTCCTATAGGATTCATTCCATAAGATTCACACAACATGCCACCTTCAATCCTACATTTCCCCTATTCCTATCCTCTATTTCTCATGCCATCCAAAGGGGGCCTTAAAGGTCTATATAGATGTCAGCATAAAAATTCAGACTACACTTAATTGCAATAAACACAACACAGATTGTATTTGTTTAAGTAAGTTATGCATTAATGTTAGGAAACAAAGTTGTTGCAAAATTTAAAATATTACTCGCCTTGTTTGCTTCAAAAAAAATAAATATTAATTTTCTTCTAACGCTGACCTATTCTGAAACAAAAGCACTGTTGTATGACCAATGGTTCAAAATAACTACAG